TCTTAGACTGCTCCCTCCCCATTTAAATATTTTTTAAGAGTTATACAATATTATTTAAGCGTGTTTTATTTTGAATGGCCATAAGCTTGAAAATCTGTGAGCAACTTTCCATACTTCAAGTATGTGTCTTCTAAATTACAAAATACCTGAGGGATGCTGCTCTCTGGGAATTTCTGAAAACTCATTCAAAATTGAAAAATTATTAGGATTGTAGACAGAAGAACACATGCTAGCACATACTAAGAGGTCTTATAGAACACTGTGGGAGATAGGGCTTCGTGACTCTTGCTCTTAGAGAGGTGAGGTGCATCCTGCCAGGAAGATAAATGCGGCAGAGAGGGAGATGTTGAAAGAGAAGTTAGGGCGTAAGTAAGTTACAGCCAGTTGAGAAGAAAGGACATCATGGACAGATTTATCTGAATGCATTGGTGATTTTGCATCAGATTTCCAGGTGGAATTTAGGAACTGAAGCATGCCTTGGAACAGTACTACAGTTTACTGCCTACAATTCTCTTATGAAGAAAACTACTAATCTGCACAAATGGTCATGTCCTACCTGGGATTAATAAATTATTTAATAGTCTGGAACACAAGGAATCATGATGATAATAACTATGGTTAATTAATAAAGACAGTTTTAGAGAATTAAGGTAACAGAAGCATTGATGTGTTTGGAGTATTCCTTCTAAAAACTAATTTTGATGTTTGCTTGGACACACTGATATTTTCATTATGTTTACAGCAGAGGGAGTAGGAGGTTGTCCCAGAAAGACTGGAAAAACTTGGCATTTTACTGGCAGTCTGAATATTCAATTTTATGATAAACTATTAATTATGAGTAGCAGCAATTCTTGGAAAGTTTATTTTATTTATACTGTTTATGTGAGCTACATAAAAATACCAGTGCCTTTGGTTTTGTGTTAGTAGTGACGACTGTCTTGTTTGATTCTCTTTGTCCTCTTCTAGGACTTTATATTACCTTTAATAGATCTGTTGTTCTCCACATAGGATGCATATGTCAGACAGATTTGTCCTGTCTTGCTGGTTTTTGTGCTTATATTGAGATACCTCTGATTTTAGGTAGCTTTCTGTTCATTACATGTTCTTAGATGCCCTTCTTTTAGATTGTGGAACAGCTAAAACATACCCAGATATCCTAGGGAGCAGTTTTTAGTTTTGATTTGTCAAATTCAGTAACTGTTGATTTTTGTCCATACCCAAATTTTCCCAAGCTTTCATATTTTGGGAAGTTTGAACAAAAGGCAGTACTGTAATGCCTGCATTTTAATAGAGGGAAAAACAAAACAATCCATTGACAAATTTTGTTTTTCAAAATCTATTCAAATTGTGCATGCGAAAATACACAGAATGAAAGATTATTTGAACTGCCATCATTTGGTGTAAATCATCGAACTTTTTAGTGAAAGAGATTTTAGAAAAAAGCTCCTTTGCATTAGTCAGTCATATCACATCTTATCCTGGATCAGCAACTCTGGGACACCGTTTTTGCTGTAACGCAACAGGAATCTTTGGTGAATCTGGGCTAAATGGATGAAACAAATGTATGTCCCCTGATGTGGGGGTGGTTGGAAGCAATGTGAACATACCTCCAAAGGATTTGGATAGCTCAGCACGGCAGCTCACTGAGCAGAATGAGTGTAGCTGGGTGAGTGGGGTTTGGTTTGGTTTGTTTTGGTTTTATTGGGTAGCACACCAACCAAAGCTGCTTTCTGCTGCTTGTTTCGATTCCTGTGCTACCTCCCAAGTTGTGCCAGTCCGACTGCTTGCGTCACTGGGTGATGAATAAAGTCTAGGGATTGATTGCACTTTAAAATAACCCTTTTTTTTCCAGATGCTACTGGAAAAAAAAAGTGTTTGTCAAACTGCAGCCTAAAGGATTTCTGTTGGCCTGGTAAGAAAAGCTTGAGTCAGCTTGCCTGGAAAGAGACTTGGATTTGTGAGCAATGGGGATGCTGCTTGGGTATTCTCCCTGCATTCATCAAGAGAGAACTTGTGTATGTTCTTTTTAAATAAACCTGCTTACATGCAATGAAATACCTGCCTCTTCTCATCCGTTCCTCCCTATAACGGCAACAGCCTGGCAGTCCCCCAAGCTCTGATGAACCAGTCCTGATGAAAAGGTCACCATCACATTGTTGAGGCTTTCATAATCACCCAGAAACTTGGGTTTTGGTAATGGAGCCATAAGAATATTCTAGGCTTGCCAGTTAATTTGAAAATAAAATACATGTATTTGACAGAGCATTGTGATGGGATCTGCTGTTTTCCCTGGCCTTAGGAGGCCCGCAGACTTTTGGCAAGGGTTGTCCTGGCAGCGAACATGAGAATGAAAACAACATTACTGAACCCATTTGTTTAAATTTCTACTGAATCTCTACAGTGAAAGACTGAGGAGGTTATTTACTGAACCCACGCTGTGAGCATGATATGTGTATCTCAACAGTTAGCTTGGTTTAAACTACACTGAGGCAAGACCCGAGTATTGCCATCCTGCTAGTTTGCAAATTCCAGATTGTACAGAACAAGAAAGTTAACTCTTCCATTTTTGTATACTGTGGCAAACCCTAAATAGCAGTGCAAAAATATTTGATATTTTAAAAGCAACCATGTGTTCCTAATGTTTTATAAACATCATCTCTGATTTACGGCCAGCATTTTGTGTTTTAGATATATATCTAGTCTATAAAATGGGTGTTGCTTTATGAATTGCCGACAAATCTCGTGCCCTTACTTCCATGCTCATGCATTCTCACTGTAATTTCTGCTCAGTGCTCATACATAAAGAGCAAGTCACCGAACTCTAGACTGTTGCCCACTCTCTAAATCATCTATTTTCCAATGAAAAAGAATTCTAAAAATAATTTTTTAACTTCAGAATAGCAAACATATTTCAGAATAAAATAAAAAAGCTTTTTGCACTAATATTGGTAAGCGCTAGGTCACCCATATGAAAATACAGTAAAGTGATAGTGGAAGGCTCAGATACTGATACCTGGTTTATTTCTGAAAAGTATTGCAAAAGAAGTCTCACCCCTGCAATGCAGGATGCAACAAGGATGCTTGGGCTGTAACCTAACAGAGTACGAAAAATTAACCAGATATACCATTTTCAGGATTGAGATTTTCCATCAGCCTACAGAAATGGATTGAAGTAAGAAAAATTGTTCTGTACGAGACCAGAAGATGCACCACAATCTGATAAATGAACAATTGTGCTTAATAACAAAGTGGCTTTTCAGCTGACAGCTGTTTCACCAGACAGTTTGGTTAAGAGGCCAGATGTCAAAGGGACACATGGTGGAAAGTAATTTAGTAGGATAACTTCACAGAAGGAAAAACTGGTAATTTGTGTATGTTTGAAACGTCCAAGAATGGAATTAGTATGTAATGCCTAGAGTGTTTTGCCTGTTCAGAGCTGTGCTCAAGCTGGGTCTCAGAGCTCCACGGGAGGGGAAGCGGTAGGCTGTGGCGTGGCTGCTGGCTTAGAGCTCTGACTCACATGTGGCTAATTCCCTCTCCATCTCCCTTCCTGACAACCGAGTTTGTCTGATATCAGTCTATGCCACTTACTGTTCTGCACCAAGTCATTTTTCTGCCTCTCACCTGGCACTGTGGAGTGGGGGAAGAGATAAAACACAAATTGGTGTGGACTTCTGGGAGATGAGGGAGAGGTGAGATTTACTTGTTTTATGGGAAATTGCCTGTAGATATAGATGGGAGAATGACATCTAGCAGAAAAGGCATCTTCCAAAGGCTAACATGTTGGTTGGTTTGTTTTTAAATAAACTGTAGCATATTTTCAAGTTTCTACTCAATTTTTTTTTTTTTTAATCAAAAAGTAGATGACTTGGCATTATTAGTTACCACTACAAGTTAAACTGTCTTTGGAAAACTACCACCATCTTCTGACCGCTCAGGGAAATGCAGTGACTAGTTTGTATTTAGACTTCTTAAAACTTACACAACTAAAATAAAAACAAAGTAAAATAAAATAAAATAATTACTATAGTAATGAAAAGGAAGATAACAAAAGGAGAGAGAAGTAAACCCCAGAAAGACAAGTGATGCACAATGCAATTGCTTACCGCCCACTGACAGGCTGCCCAGGCAGTCCCCCAGCAGCGATCCGCCCCTCCCAGCCAATTCCCCCCAGTTTACATACTGAGCAGGACGTTCTATGGTATGGAATATCCCTTTGGCCAGTTCGGGTCAGCTGTCCCAAACCTTGTTGTTGGCAGAGCAGGGGAAACTGAAAAGTCCTTGACCTAGGATAAGCACTACTTAGCAACAACTAAAACATCAGTGTGTTATCAACATTATTCTCACGCTAAATCGAAAACACATCACTCTACCAGGTACTAGGAAGAAAATTAACCCAGCCAAAACCAGGACAGCAACGCATATGTTATCCACACAGCTAGAGCAGAAAGCAAACTCATAATGCATTTGATTATTAGTAGTCAAAACAGTATGAAATACATTTTCCCTGAATTTCTTTCCTCAACTTCTGATGAAAAAAAATGCTCAAGGCCATAAATAGAGCAATCTGTCCATCCATATCAGTCTCATCTGTTGTGCTCACATCTAACCCCTTCATTCCCCAGAACTGAAACAGATTTAAGGGGAGCCTCTCTGGGTCCTTAGTTAAACCCTTGGTCATGTAAGCGGCTCTGTGAGTGGAGAGGCAAATGGAGATGTGCAGGTGACCAACAGGTTGCTGATACAATGCACTCATTAACTGGTTTTCCTTGTTTCCTGAGCCAGTGTTTCACAGGGCAACAAATTATAGGAGAAGGGCCAAGTAATGGAAAGTGTGAGGAGAAAGGTGAGAAAAGAAAGTAGACTGCTCTCACTGTAGTACCATACCGCACCTTCCATGACTTGCCCTATCGCAAAAATGTGGTGAAATAGAGGGAAGCCAGAGCCTGTTATAAACTGCTTCTCGGTATCAGTTGCACAATTTCATGTGTCCCTGCTAGGTCTTCTGGAGGATGTGAAATCAGCTCAGACAGGTGTAACTACAGCATCAGCCACAGCTGGAACGCTGAATGCCGAGAAAAGGACAAACTGTGGTCCTCAGTGTGCAAACCCCATGGGCCATGGCACAGGAGCTACGGCGCAGAGACAGAACAGCTTCAGGACAGAAGAGGTAAGAGTATAATTATGTTCCCTGACACTCAGCACTAGCCTCAACCAGGTCAAACTTATTTTTGTGACAATCTTCCTCGCTGCCGTCAAGCTGTCTTTAACGCCTTGGGGTGAGAGAACATGGCTGCACCACAGCCACGACGTGATTGAGACTAGCACCTCATGCCTGAACATCCACAAAATTGATGTTCTATTTGGCAGTCAGAGTAACACACACACTTGTTACAGCGAAAAAAAAAAAAATCCCATGCTTATTTTTTTCCAGCTCAGTCCATTTGTGGCATGTATTGTACAAATTGTTTAATTATCTGAAAGGGAATGGGGTTTTCCTTTATTGCTGTTTTGCTTAAATTATATGCACTGCACGAACCCTGGTTCATTCAAGGCTGGATGTGAAGCCTGAAAAAAGTCAATGGGAATCTTTTCAATAACGTCAGTAGGCTCTGGATCAGATCTTCCCCTCTTTTCCCCTCACCTATATGTTCTATAAGTTGTAGAATGATCATCCAGTGTAATGATAATGCATGAACAACCAAGGCTTTCTCCTGTCCTAGCTGCCTACCTGCCAGTCTCTCACAGCTTTCCACCTGCTGCCGTGTTTGTTTGTGCAGCAGCTGCTGAGATTAAAGTAATCCAAAAACTATGGTTGGTTTACTGCTTCCTCGGCTTCTCAGACTGGAAGAGCACTCAGCATGGTGTGTGCTGGAACCGCTGCACCCACGCCAGAAGAAGGTGTCCCCTCTTGGGAATCACATCCGTGAGAGAGGCAAATTTAAATCCAGGGGGACTGAGCAAATGAACAAGGCAATTCAGATTGAATTTTACCTTGCATTTGCTAACAAACAACACATTGGCGCATGTCTGTTCATTTTATGTCTTCACTGTATTATCTTCTGTACTGCTGTAGTACAGGAATATTCCCTGATGACATGGATCCTGCTGTATCTTTCCACAGAATACTGCAGCTCCAGATGTGTAGGGACACATTTTATAGCAGCACGACATCTAGAGCCATGGGTTTGCTGTAAATGAAAAATATAAATGCCTGTCATAGCCACTAGCTCACAGAGAAAAATTAATTGTTCAGGTTGGATATCGTTGAACAGAACTAACATAATTATTAATACAATTTGAAAAAAGACTTGGCCACACTTGCAAATTATAGTGTATACCTGACATACTGTTGGAAAAAATTGTTTGTCTAATTTTGTAAGCAATTGAAAAATTAGTTCTGTATTTAGACTTACTAGGAAGTATGGGCAAATTCACACAACTTACTGACTGTAATGGGACTACTCACTGAAGCATGGGTTCCTGTCCTGGGGCCCTATGGCTTTGAATGTATCCTCCTGCCTTTTTCTAGCTAAGATACGTTCAGTCATATATATCTGTACTGCTGCAACCCAGTGCAAAGAAAATTTCTAATTAGAAATAGGGCATTTACATTATTCTATGCATACAGTGAGGGTGTCTAAGAAAGGAAGGTAATTAGCCTAAACTTCTTATAGTCAAAGTAAAAATGTATTTTCCTGCAGTGCAAGTGTAGTATCTAAGTCTCCAGCTCTGGTTTGCCATTCTGAATCTCTGTTTCTCCACTGACTGTTTAGGGAAGTGTAAGATGAGCAGGTTTACAATTTGGACATGTAAAGTTTAGGTGCCTAGAGTTGAGAATGTGACTATCTCCCAAACTCAAAAAGTGTCCATTTTATTTACATGACTATCCACATTGACTACAGCTTTTCTTTCATCTCTACACGTTGTAGAATACAATGCAATGCAGAACATGGTGCTCTCAGTAGACTTGGGTTCTGCCATTGGCCTGGAGAGTAGTAGGGGGTAAATTGCTTTACCTCTGTTTCTCATTTTCTCAGGCGTCAAGCTCTAAAGCATCCTACTGCCTTAGCTCTACCATCAGTTATGTGACAGGGTACAATTTGTGGTGTCAAAAGGGGAAGCGTTTGACACAGGCTGCATCTGGGAAACTTTAATATCCTCCCATGAGGGTAATGTCAAAATAACTTGGAAATAAAAGATGCTGATGATGAAAGGAGTCCTAATAGCAGTGAAGGCAATAAAATATTTAGGCACCCCAAAAGCAAAGGTGGTATCCAGATTATGTCACTGACTGACAATAACCTGGTTTGATTTTCATGTTATGTGCAGTCTTTGGAGAGTCCTTGTGTGAACAGGAGCACTGGCGGAGTAGAGAGCAAAGGAGCAGGTGTATTCAGGCTGCAGAAATGTGAAGTAATACACAGCAGCAAACAAACACCAGGTTTTGCTCTCAGATAAATATGTACCTTCCACTCGTGTCAGTGGAAGTTTACCAGGCATTCTTTACACTTACAAATTGTCTCATGAAACACTGGATATGCAATAATCAAACCCACCTAACCCAGCTCTGTGTCTCTATCAGCCCAGTTCCGAGTGTCCTTTGCTAGATCTATCCAGTTTACTGCATACTATAGTGTGTTGCTTATGGCAACAAGCAAACAGACTAGGAGATGGAGAAGGATAAATTAAAATTAGGGTTGCACTTTCATGCCTCAGACAGACTGACTTTTATGAATATTTGGAAATAATGTGATGAAGCTCTGAAAGTTATATATTGTACTTGGGTCTTATATGCAGGCAGAATTAAGTGTTAATTTGAAACTATATTTTCACTTAAGAAACACAAAGTAGAGAAATTTCTGTCTCATGCTAGTCACACTCAACTCCCAGTGACATCAAAAGGAACCTCTGAGTTCCACTTCAGGATTGAAACCAGATCTATTTGCTCCACTTTTATAATACACATGTGTAAAGATGATAATTATAGCCAAGAGGGTCGATCCAAAGTCTACTGACATCCACAGCCTTTATAGCAGTTGTAACAGCTTGTGTCCATGTTGAATGAGAAGGTTGCCCTGCATCACAGTACTGTGTGAAGAACACTGGAGACATTCTGTTTATTAAGTAGAACTGTTTTCGTAAATTAGGAGGTAATCATCAATGACTCTGTGCTATCAGTGTGGAACTCACTGTACTATTTAAAACTTTCACAGAATACGTGGGACACACAGAAAATGTCCACAAAAGAAGTCACCATTAATGTTACAAAAAGCATCAGACAAAGTGACAGAAGGAAAACAAAGAATTGTGTCAATTAACAAAGGAAAGCGCAGATGAGGATGGACCTAACAATGCTTCGCTGCACTTTAAATGTCATCAGTCATCACTGAAGATATGAAAATCTCCAGATGTTCCATGTTGAATACAGCAGGCAGCTGCTGCTGAGTGCCTTCATAAACATGTCTTGTAGAAACCAGCTGCAGACACTGTAGGATGTTCAGATGTCATTTGCCTAAAGGAGTGGCACTGCGCATACGCCAAAATTTGTGCCATTTGATTTTTACTAAGTCCTGTGTTATCTCCTTGTGCATGTCGTGTTCTGCACTGCTATTGGGATGAGGCTGGATGATGAGAGGTACAGTTCTTCTCAATTTAAATAGGAAATGAACACGTGCATCTGCATTTTCAGTCATAAGGGGGTTCGAGTGTGTTCAAGGGGTTTCAAACCCACAGGGTTCATTTAAAGCACTCACTTTCATAAAACTCAAACCTAGAGATCTTAGAAAGAGACACAGCGGTGGCTTCCATTAAATCTCTTTTAAACTATATATAGCAGTTATAGGTAGTTAAGTCATATAGTAACCTTTTTATATTTTAATCTTTTAATTACTTAGTTTTCACTTATTTTGTGTATTGACGGAATTTAAGTCTTAAAAAACAGTAACTTTCATATTGATCAGTCTTACTTGAAGTTCCTAGTCTTAACTGGCAGGTAGGGTTCTGGCTACTTACTTATTTTATACACGCCCCTTTAATTATATTGAGGCCCAGACTGACTTGGAAAGAAGTGATCACTAGCATTCCATGAAAATAACCATAATTCTTAAAGCAATATTCCAATGACAGCTCCAAAAATTAACTTTATTTGATCAGATATAGTTGATTTCATGTGAAAAACTTACTTAATTGCATCATAAGCAATGTATCATAGTACTCCACATTTATCATAAATTTATATCTAAAAGGAATATAAATGTTCAGTGTAGTAAAGACCAGGAATTAATTCAACATACTACTTCTTAGTATAGAAGTAATAATAATATATATTCTCTGTGATTTAGTACATTTATGCAGATAAAAGAGGTAAATTTATTTGCCTCCCCCATCAGACATATATGTGAGTATCCTTAGAGGGCCATTAAAATAACCACTCAAAAGTTGCTCGTTAGAAACAGATGTCATTAGGAAAAAAATCCATGTATGAACTGTGAGAAGTAATTTTTACACATAGGCAAAGAAATATAAATAGAATTGTGGGACTGAATCCTAACTTATTCCATATTAGGATCATTTTAATAACTTGCTGCTAGGTGTGTGAGTACTTAATACTTACCTTGGAGTACAACAAGCCTATGCAATAGGGAATTGTTTATTAATTATTCCGACACAAAGGCAATCAGAAATCCAGAGTCAGTGTGAGATTTTTGCATACAAGAGCATACATATAAGAAATGTTTATTTGTAGATGTCCTAAAATGGGGCAAAAAACTTCTGCTAAGCTTTCTGCAGCTCATTGTGTTACCTGGTAAGAATGAAAAAATATTGAAAATAATGTTGTACAGGTAAGACAACAGCAGTCTGCATCTGTCCCTCCAATTTGTGGCTCTCTGCCAACTTGCTGGCAACATTACAGGAGAGGAAGGGACTAGTCACTAACAATAAAGCTGCTGTAGCAGCTCAGCAATATTAATTCAGACGTGCATAGCCATTGTTGGTGGCCATGTACTGACCTAATTGAAAGCATGCGTTCGGGATTCTGCATTATTTGTGTAAATGATGAACCATTTCACATCTGTGGCAGGCTTGTAACCCACTTCTGTTTCAAAGGATTTACTGGCAGAGAGAGTGCAGTATAAACCTGTACAGTGCAGGAAAGCTGCAGAAAGTGATTAACAATGTTGGTGTGTGAAAGGGTAGAGAAGATTTTTGAAGTAAAGGAAAAGGGAAGGTTCACTGTGTGACAAGCTGTTCCACAGATGGTTCCCTTGGGTGGGTACCATGTTGGGGTGAGTAGATGCAAGAGCAAAGGAGTCTTAGCAGTGAGATTATTTACTAGCTAAGAAATTATTTTGTAATGATGTGCTGACCAGATGTGTCTGATAGCTTGGGCCACACAACAGAAGCAAGCCTGCAATGCTGCATAGCGCATCGGTATGAGAAACAGCCCTGCATGTCAGCAGTCAGCAGGGAGGCAGTTTTTGAGCCTCATAGTCAGAGCATGAGATGTGACAGGATGGTTAGCAGGAGATGGCCTTGGTACATAATGATCTGGGCAATACTACGGATCGTGATTATGTTGACCACATCCCCCATCGGGGTGGCAGCTGTGGAGTGGTGGAGGCTGACTGCCCTGGATGACCCCTCTGTCTGCTCATGATAACTTTCCTGAGCTAGTCCAAGATCACATAATCTTGTTTATATCCTGAAACTTAACTTTAGGGCATTCAAAATCTGGATCTAACTTCTGTGGTACAAACCACATCTAGTTACAAGAAACTTTATAAACTCTTCTCACGTAACACATTACTGCTGTTACTCATTAGGTGGTAATTGAAAAGAAATTACATTATGTTTTAGATGGCTTCATAATTCTTGATGCGTAAGCTTCCAATGACCTTAATAAAATTAAGAGCATGTTGTGGAGATGTGAATCCTGCCTCTGTATGTAGACAGGGTTATATTTATGTTTTCCTTACTTTCCTTCTACTAGAGACAACCACCAGTAGAAACAACCAATTTGTACATAAAATAATATACCTCTCTATAATTAAGGGTGACAGAATCTAGTCTATACTGCTTAAGACAATTTCAAGTCCTAAAAATAGATCCCTAGGCTGGTTTTAGTGGAAGAAGCAAGCTCAGAGAATCATCTGGATAAATTCACTCCAGGTGGCTTTCCTATGAGTCTTATTTACAGGGTCTGTTCTTCGAGTAGCATCTTTCAAATATAAATGGCGCAAATACAGGAAATAAAATAACCATGTTAGAAAACATAGACTTTTAGATAAAGAACCTGCAGACATCTGTCTTCTTCTATGACAGGATTTTTGAAATGTAATTTTCCTCAAAAAAGATACTATGCCACTTCATTTGTTTAATGTCCCTTGGCTGCAAGGATTTCTACAGCTACAGTGAAACAACATGCTTTGTGCTGGAATGATTTGCCAACATCTAGTGAGTTTTTGTGATTTACCTGAGTTCAGGTTTTAAATAGAAACAAACTTACTTTGTCATGCTTACGTAATTCCAATACAATATATAGATAGGATTTTCCTCTGATGTGTATATACACAAAAAACACATTTTCCACTATGTGAGAAATGGAGTCACTCAAAAGAAAGTGGACATTGGATAAAGAGGAGAGAGAATTTACAATTACCAGTAGACATCATACAGGCAAATTCATCTTCTCAAAGACTCAGTGCAATTTTGTCTTTCAGTATTCCTTCATCTTGTCCCTTATGCTTCCTTAATGTATTTCAGCATTTCACCATTACTGCATGACATTGGCTGGAAGACATGCAATTTTACTGAGTGACAGAAATGATCTTGTACTGAAAAAAACAGGAAGGTGTAATTATTGTGTAAGCACTATATGAGTACTGGGCTAAACATGCATTCTTGTTAGCTAAAAGACTGAGATCATATACAAAACAGAAAACAGATATTTTTGATCTTCCTGGTATGTTCACATACATATATATTCATATGTGCATGTCTCTGTGTGTGTACATTGCAATGTCTTTAGTGTATACTTCTGTTCTGCAGTTCAGACATGGATTTTTGGAGACCTTTTACTTGTGTTTTTAATTCTGAAACCCAAGTGTAAAATGTTTTAATGTTTGAACTGAAATCTGTTTTACATGCCTTATGAAAAGAATGAGCTGTATAACATGTGCATAGAAATGGTGTTTGAAAAAGCAGGCTTAGTTTTATTTGGAAATTATGAATAATCTATCTAAATTCAAACTTGCCTAACCGAAGCGTTTCTGTACTCTCATTTTATCTGCAAATTATTGAATATTGACCTTGAACTTGAAAATGAAAATAAATAAAATTTTTAAAGTGTCTGTTTATTACACTATGAATTTTACATTCCTCTTTGTGGTTGATTTATCTTTAAGAGCTGAGACCAAAGACTGCAAAGGTATAATCTCCTCTTTTCATGGAATCAGAATATTTCTGTATCTGATGTAGCTCATGGACTGTGTGGTCATGTCAAAGAAGCTAAAATACATATATTCCCCATAAGAAATTGCTGTATTTGCTGAAAAGGGCTTGCAATGTTAAAATGAGAGGAACTGTAGCTCTATAATTATAAATGGGAGAGTTTGTGGTTGCTGTCATGTCTAAAGTGAGAGACACTGGGAACCCAAGACATTTTCTCTAGTAAGATGTCATATTACTGGGGGGAGAGAGGAGACCAAGAACTGAGAGTTACTGAGTCAACTCAGAGTTGCCTCTGTAAACAGCAAATTTGGTACACGCTGAGGTAATTCTTCCCCTTTACACAGCCTTGGGAAGGTCTCTGCTGAAGCACTTGGCTATTTCTGGCACCTCACTTTAAGAAAGTGGGGTAGAAACCAGCAAAAGCAATTATCAGCCTCCAATTGTGAACATTTGGACAAACGTGTGGACATTTTAAAGATATTTTTTAGGGGTGGTCCATAGACTGAGAGAATGCTAGCTGTGTATTATACCAAAGGATGGGAAGGATGGTGGTTAATGAGGTTGTATTGGATAGTGTGGGACCTGAGCATGACGTAAATTATATGGAATAAGGGGTGGAGAATGTGCTGGCTTTGGCTAGGATAGAGTTAATTTTCTTCACAGTAGCTAGCATGGGCCTATGCTTTGGATTTGTGCTGGAAACAGTGTTGATAACACAGAGATGCTTTTATTACTGCTGAGCAGTGCTCACACAGAGCCAAGGCCTTTTCTGCTTCTCACCCCACCCCACCAGCGAGCAGGCTGGGGGGGCACAAGAAGCTGGGATGGAACACAGCCAGGACAGCTGACCCCAAACTGACCAAAGGCATATTCCATACCATATGACGTCATGCTCAGCATATAAATCTGGGGGAAGAAGAAGGAAGGGGGGGAATATTTTGAGTGATGGTATTTGTCTTCCCAAGTAATCGTTACACGTGATGGAGCCCAGATTTCCTGGAAATGGCTGAGCGCCTGCCTGCTGGTGGGAATTAGTGAATTAACTCCTTGTTTTGCTTTGCTTGTGTGCATGGCTCTTGCTTTACTTATTAAACTGTCTTTATCTCAACCCATGAGTTTTCTCACTTTCACTCTTCCAATTTTCTCCCCCATCCTGCAATGGGGGGACTGAGCGAGCGGCGTGGTGGGGCTCCGGTGCCGGCTGGGGTTCAGCCACGACAGGCACAGAGACCCCCAGGAGAGCTTGAGGAAGCCCATGAGCTCAGTGTGAGAGAGCACCAATGGAAGCATATTTGTGGTCTTCCTTTACATTGACTGGGAAGAAGATGAAAAGAAATGGACTTAAGAGGAAGTTGGAAAGATTAATGCTAGAAAATAAAAAACTTTGAGGATCAATAAATATTTGACAGATTGTCTAGGAAAGTTTATTAAGATCACAGTAGACAGATACCTGTTCTGTGGTATAGGGACAACTGATTCTTCACTTCATCTGTTGTTCTATCAAAGCCCACAGAAACCCCAGTTCTACTCCATTTTCTATAACTTGTTCTCCAAGGAGGTCTTCTCTGAGGTAACTTGTGAATAAAAGAGGCATTTGATCTACAGTATTAGTCTTGTACTACTCAGGGCTCATCCAAATATAATGACTGTGGGGAAAAGGGATGACGTGCTCATATCAGGCATGACATGCCCATGTAATGAAAGCCCCACTTCTTGGGTAGTAATGATAGCTATTTTTCCTTTTCCCTCTTTTGTAATTTTTACCAGTTGCACCCAGAAATTCATTACTGATATTACTGTGTAAGAACACAGGATGAGACAGTCTTTGTCCCAACTGAGTATGATCGACAGCAAAAAAAAGTAAAAGCTGGCTGAGGAGAAGGATGATGCTGTACATTGGCCATGTAGGAGTGTTCTGTTGAGGAATGTTTTGAAATCTTGGAGAAAATCTGTATGTCATGGCAATAGATAAAGAAAGTATATAGTCAAACAAGCAAAAAAGTCAGCATTTACTTCTGAATCATGGGAAACTGTTCAGTGCTCAGGTAACATCCAGAGGAAGGGCTACAGGACTTGCTATATTAATCAGAAAGGCATCATCGAAAGTGCTGTCAAAAACAATTAATAGAGTCAGTAGCAATTCAGGCTTCAAGAAATAGCTATATCCTCTTATTCCTGCAGAAAATATTATACATTTCTGATACATTTGATATAGCCATATCTTCCTCTTCTTGCACAACATATCAATCATTGCTGATGTGTTTGAGACTGTCTTGTAATGTGCAAAATGAGTGTGCAATGAGTGACTGCTACAAAGATAGCCAAATGTGAGAGGAAGACTGAAAAGTACCTCAAGAGACATCAGGAAGCAAGTTCTGCTTGGGGGCCTTGCCACTATACACAGCAGGTACAAAAAGCTCTTTTTCATAGTACCCCAGTGACATACTAATACAGACATTACTTTAGTGAGGACTCTGCATTTGGGTCCCCATTAAAGGCAATATATCTATGGTGTTTAGAGTTTTCTGCGACCCTGGAAAAAGAAAAATCAATGAAATAATGCCAAATTCTAGTCAGTACTTGTGCAAAGATTTAGGAAAAAAAAAAAAAGCAGTAGTGTGGAAAGACAGCAAAGTACAATGCTGAAGAAAACAACACAAAGCTGCTGCTAGGGAAATTGCATGGCCCGTGCTAGCAGCAAAGCTGTTAACTGCCTATCAAAAAGATCCGTGGTCTCCAGAACTCCAGCAGCAACAGCTTAGCAGCCCGCAGCCTGGTTCACATCCAGCAGGAGAAACAGTGACAAAGGAGAGAGTAAAGGGGACATGGTTTATTCTCCCTGTTTTTTTCAGCGCGGGTGTTGTAAATGTATGAGGAAACTAGAACACATAGCTAATAAAATACCTTTGCTCCTGCAGAAAGCACAGTGTGACGAAAGTAGCTTCTGCACTGTTTAACCCGTGTCATAGAAATAAACTCATAACTTTTTAAGAGATCACTTTTTTCTTTTTTTTTTCAAAATGACAATAAATTTTTAAGATATTTTTCCTTAGAGCCAGAAAGGGTTACTCTTGCAGAAATATCAGCCCCATCCTAATTGCCTATGCCTTGGATGTTGTCTGACAAGTAGCTTGTTCTCTTTGATTCCTGGCTAAGATGCTGACACAGCAACTGGTTTGTTTCCTGTGGAAAAGGAAGAATAGTACAAAGGAATGGCTTTCAGATGTGCCAAAAAGCAAAAGGATTTGGGAACATGAGGAAGCCATAGTCCTGCAGTCAGGCATGTAAGAGCCCAGGGGGACCCTGCAAACAGGACACTGAATTCAGGGGTTAGACTATGCTCTGCAAGCAGAGCCCTTGTTGCTGCAGGGAGAGATGGAGGGGAAGAGCTTGTTGCAAGTGAAGCCCCCAAAGCAGTTAAGGTTTAATGGACTCTGTTCCTCTCCTGACTCTGGGGAACGTGTGCCAAGGTGGCATTTCTAAAATTAAAGTTTAAGAGGTGTTACTTGAGCTACAACACAGTACACAGTGTATCCACAGTACCTCTCC